ACGACAGATCGTTCGATCACGATTCGGCTTAATCGCAACGATAATTCCGGTGGAATGGCGCGGCATGGTGCAGAGCGCGACATTCGGAATACCAATCAGACAGTCAGAGAGTTACCTTCATTCAAGGAAACCTGAAGCAAGGGAGATTAAGCCCGCTTGGTGACTTTAATTGCCGCTATCAACTGCTCTAGCAGAGCTAATCTCCGCTCGGGAATTCCCCGTGAAACGAAGTAACGACGATAATCCAATGGACCGTGCAATTTGGCAATCGTCGAGCTGTTTCGATGGATGCTGCCTGTTTCTCCCTCTCGCCCTTTCCAAATTCATGACTAATTCCTGACGCGAAAATTCAACGATCTGTTACATAAAACACCTAAATGTTCGAGGTACAATTGCTACGTCTACTCCTTTCGCAACGTTTGAAAGAAAAAGTTCACGAAAGTTTACGTAAACACGTTCGTAATCTATCTCGTTAGCAGTGGATCACGAATTTCTTTAGGAAATTTCAAAATTTACTGCGCGAGATAAATGTAATAAAATATCTCCGACATTCACTTCGCGAGATAAAAATTTTCACTAAAATTCTTTCATTTAATTAATTAAGAAAGAATCTGTTTAAAATGCGAAAGATAATCACTTTATTTTTAAAAGACGAATTTCCATAAAAATTTGCAGTCCCTACATTCTAAAGAGATTTATATAGAGTTGAAAATACTTCCTACTAAAAAAAAAAAAAAAGCAGCAAACTTGCGAACGAAAAAAAAATCACACTTGAGCTTCGGTTTAATTTGAAACTAACGAAACCAGTTGTTTCTTATGTCTTGATTAAAAAACGTAAGAAGAAACATTTGGCCCAGCCTATACGTGCGAAAGTTGGAGTTTAGAAGAACGCCTTCTCAAGAAATCTTCAAAGAAGAAGAAGAAGAATAAAAAAGAGAAGAGAGAAAAAAAGAAGAGAGAAAATAGGTCGGCGATTGAACAATTGCAAAAGTTATTGCGCAACGCTTGGCCATCTTTGCCCTGAAAAAGGTTTGACGAAGAAGAAAAGGGAAATGAAATGGCGTTTCTTCCCAGGGCTAAAGGATACTTTCGTCGTTCGTTGAGAGGTGTTACATTATCGCTACAAACTACATACGTAGTTTGATTGCAGTTAATACAGTTCCTTGTTGGAAGAGAAGAGAAAGCACCTACGCGTTTCCTTGAGCGACGCACGCCGGAACGTTATGCACTTGGTGTCGTCAGCGAGGTTAATCGACCGAAGAGAATTGTATGGCGATTGCTTGCAATTAGTTAAACGACGGGTGCTACCGGTGTCCCTCGCGAAGGTGTTCTCACGAAACGTGACGTTTCCTTTCAGAACCGCTCCTCCTCTGCGCGAGAGGAGCCTCATCCTCTTCTCGTTAGCTTTCACCCTCTTTTTTGAACTATTTATCTTCTGAGAAAACGCTATTTTGTACGATTGTATATTGTACTATACATATGTACTATACGTATATTGTTGATTGTACGACTAATCAAATATCAGGGGTATCCATAAGGGTATTGTCGTTTTCTTCAAATTTAATAAACATTACCATCTAATGACGATAATGTAACTTATTATAAATAAGCTAACTTTAACTTATTATAAACTTATTATAACATAATAAGTATATATATATTATAAGTTACATAATAAGTATATATATATATTATAAGTTACATAATAAGTATATATATACATAATAAGTATATATATATTATAAGTTACATAATAAGTATATATATATATAATAAGTTACATTACCATCTAATGACGATAATGTAACTTATTATAAATAAGCTAACTTTAACTTATTATAAACTTATTATAACATAATAAGTATATACATATACATATATAAGTTTATAATATATATATATATATATAATGAATATATATATATATTATAATAAGTTACATACTAAGTATATATATATATATATATAATAAGTTACATTATCATCTAATGACGATAATATAACTTATTATAAATAAGCTAACTTTAACTTATTATACACTTATCATAACATAATAAGTATATACATATATATATATAAGTTTATAATATATATACATAATAAGTATATATATTATAAACTTATTATAACATAATAAGTTACATTACCATCTAATGACGATAATGTAACTTATTATAAATAAGCTAACTTTAACTTATAACAACATAATCTAGATAAATATATTGTTAATGTGCTTATTGTTAAAATTACATTCAGGCCAAAAATCACTCTATTATTATTAAAATAAATCCGTAATTTTTTCATTAATTTGCGAACGCTCTGGCGGTCGACATTTGAAAGAAATCGAATTGCTTGAATTTAAATTTAAAATTTAAAAAACATTGGTCTTTCTTTTATTCACATCTTACTTACTTTTATTAACTTAATTATTATATATTCATGAATGGATACGTGGAAATGCGAGGAGACCGAACTCGTTAGTGTTTCTGGCACAATCGTCACGGATGATACATCGTACAAGTTAATTATTGTCGAGAAAAAGAGATCACTTCGATTAATATTCTCGCTTTCACCTTCGACTTTAACACCAGTCTGCTGTTATACGTATCAGCAGAATGATCTATAATTGCAAACAATTTCCTTATACTTTTCTCTTATATTAAATTCGCGTGGGATAGAGCCAGACTTTCTCGAAATTTCTTCTTCATTTATCGACAGATATAAAAAATCAACAGATATTTATTATATACACATATTTTCGATAAAATTTATCGCGAATGAGAGACGGAATTGAATATGACACATATGGCTATCATTAAAATTATGTCGTGCCTAGTTTTCTAGAAAAGAAAAAAATCGAAGAAATTTCACGTATAATCCTACTATATTAATAATTGAACGTGAAATATTTCGCGACATAATTAATGCATTAACATTACGTAATGCTTCGTTAAAGCGACGCCAGAGCGTAAGTACGTCGTTAATTTATTCATAATAATGCATCGCGTAAATATGCAGTTTCTAAGATAATATAATATTTCATCAATAAACGTGGGAGAAAAAACGGGGGAAGAACCGAGGATTCTGTTACAGTTGTCCGTGCATCATGCAAAACCACGACACGTCCATATAAATTCCACGCAACAGAGGAGACCAATAATGTTCATCAATCTAAAAACTAAATCGTTATCTCTTCTAAATTTAAGTCAAATTTAATATCCAATGCTTCTTCATTTTTAAAATTCAATTTCTTCATTAATCAGATCTCCACTCCTCGAATACGTATAACATTAAAAGAGCGGGACTTCATGCCGTACAAGTTGGAGAATATTTTTTTACAATACTCTCGTATTTTTTTAATTAAATTTTACAAATTGGTACTTGCTATTCTACCTGTTTTCTCGGCTCAAGAATTGGAAAAAAGAGAAAGAGAGAGAAAGAGAGAGAGAGAGGGCGAGATTATTTCGCCTTGTTTAATTCCTCAGTCAACGGTATACATGTAACACTTTCTTGAAAAGCCTTGCTAGAAGTCGTTACACAGGTTGAAAAAGCGGAAAATTGTTTCCTCGCTGATTGTTTGAAATCTTGTTAAAAAAAAGTTCCCTCCTGCGAGTGTGTTACGAATCGAGCAACCAAGTGGCACGCATCTTTCATAATTTCTTGGACAAGGAGTATTGCATTTTATATATACGATCGAAACGGTATGTTTCTTTTATGAAGTTTCTTCAGTTTTGCTCCATAATTTTCTACAATGAACAATTACTCTTGTTCATTGAAGGTAGAATAGCATTCTGCCTGTAGACGGATTCCGTTTGCAGATTAGATCGTGTAAAAAAAGTTACAAAATTGAATAGAGAATCGCGCAGTTATACTTCTTGCAGTTGCAAATACGATTGTAATGTAACGTGTAGCGTACTTTGTGTCACAACAGCTTTTTATAATTATGCAAAATAATATTCAGCGATCGGTGTCTCACTACAGTGTAACGTGCCTACCGCAGCGTAAGATCAAGCTGGAAAAATGTAGTCCCCGTTAGAACCACGTGTGCACGATAGATCAGCAAGGATGAAAGGTAGGAAGAGAAAAGAAGATTACAACCGCGGAGGGTAACGAAAAACGAGCATTAAACGTTACACAGTGCAGAAAGTATTGATTCGTGGGCACGTTACACGCGTGAGACACTGTATAACAACCAAATACGGTATCATCTACATAGGATCCTACGTACACATCACTGCTTAATGTTCAAATTTAAGAAAAAGAAATTCTCTTCTTTAAACGAACCTCTGGAAGGAACAAAAAAAAAAAAAAAAAAAAAATAGAAATTAAAGTGCACGTCTGAGAACATTTTTCTGAAGTTAAATGTCATTCTGTTTCTTTGTTCTTCTCCCATCTTTCGTCACACCTTTTTAGAACACAATGGTAATAGTGTTTCCATTAACCTCGTTTCCGTCGACCCTTTGATCTTCCTTCCTCCAACAATTTCAATGCAAATATTTATACGCTTCAAATTGATGAACTTCAGCGATGTTACGCGAAAGAACGGTCTCTTTAATTGCTTTTCGTAATTGTAAGAAAGACGTTGGGACACTATCCATTGATGAATCATGAAAGAATTTTTATAGAAAGACTCGTGTCACTCCAAAAAACGTGCGTTGCGCGATTCGCAATTCCGTCGTTACGTTACGCAATGCAGCTACTTACTTATGTAAATCGGCTTAATAAACTGGAGTACTTATTTTAGAATGATTCGATTCGGTTCTCTCATGTATGACATATCCGGTTGAAAAAAAAATATAGCTGCTGTATACTATTTTTTTTTTTTAATTATAGCATAATTTAAGTTATTCGAGAAATAATGTCTTTTTATTTGTCTCTTCACGAAAAATTTATTCTCTCTAACAGTTCATTTACATAAAGTTCTTATCTGTTTATCATAATATCGCGTCGCGTTTATTTTCGTCGATGCTGCTGCTTTCCAATTGCTCTCCATCATTTTACATTTACCCAAAAAAATCCTCGTCGAATGCATAAAAATATTTTTTTCTTTTTAACTGGAACACGATTCGTTCCAGTTCTTCGTGTTCCCATTCCATTTCGAATTTTCTGCAAACAAGGACGAATGGTAAAACAAATGTTTGTCTAATAAAGAGGACACCTAACCCAAACCGAAGAGTTTGTAATACAGATAATGATTAGCTGCTAGAAAAATTGAAAACGATCAATCTAATAGGAAAAGGAAAAAATATTTTCACCAAGTCTAAGAAGATACGTTCAAGGTTGTGCAGCAAGTAACGATATTTTCCTTTTGACGATGATTTCCTTTCCACAGAATTTTTTAAAAGACCCAAACTTTATGACGGTTATATTCGTCAAACTACACTTCAAAGTACAAAAATACAAAAGTTACTTCCCTGAATGCAAATGTTTCATCGCAAGTTCCATTTAGTCCATTTTCATCTAAAAATAAAAATTTACATCTTGAATATAATCCAGAAGTATTTCAAAACGTGGACGATTAAAATGCTTCGAAAATTCAGTTGAAGTAGGTCGAGAGAAAAGGACCGATTCTTAGAAATACCAATTCTTCCAATTAAACGTCGAAGAATAGCTAAACGAACGAAGAATTAGGTAATTATCGATAATAGTAACGAGAGAATTTTAATTGCCATTCAGGCGTCGCGTTTCATCCCTTTTCCTCGAAATACACTGCACCCTTTTCTCAACCTACCGAAGGGTTTCGCCCACGCAAGTGTGAAACGTTATTTTCAGACAAGCTGGTTTCAAATACTGGGCGAAAAATACGATTGCGGTTTAGGGGAGTGTCTCGGTTTCAGGATCACCCGCTTTTTAAACTTTCTGTTCAGCTGATCCACCCTCTCGATCAATTTGCGAAATTAGGCCGTGCAAAAAAGATTCACGGCGTACGAGAGAAACGCGTACTTTCCTTCCCAAGATGAAGTTCACAGGGAGCACGGTGTCACGCGTAAAGTAAATTTATCTGATTCACGTATGATTTTTTCTTACAGCTTGAAAGCATAAACGTTTGCCTCTCGAGATATTTTCCCACGCTTCTTTACAAAACAGCAGATTATTTTAAGCTCGGCTACTACGATGACTCACCCGCCGTAATAACGTAGTAAAACAACAGTCTTGAGTCTTGTAATAATCAAATCCAAGGTTCCGTTGCGTTCTGATGTTTCGAAAACAAAATATGTAATTATACCGCGAGAATTCAACGTCCTGAGAGTAAAACATATTTGAGAGCAGTTAGCATTCGTGGAGCAACAGGAGCTCGTCAATTTTTCGAAAACTCTAGAATTGTAAGTAATTTGGAGCTATACTAACCGGGAGTTAGTTACTGAGCGGCAGTTCATACGCGGATCACATGGACTTCGCTTGCAACCGTATTTCCGCCCTTTAAATACGTACTTGAGCGACGGGGACCCCCTTCGCGCGCAAATGACCCCGTGCACGATGACGTCATGCTCGCGGAGGAGGGAGAAGGGAACATTTTGAAAGTTCAAATCACACACTTTCCGCACTGTATTTTAACGCGTTGGAAATTGATGCTTTATCTACCAATCTAACCTCTCTTGCGCTGGTAACTGGTTCGCGGACCATAACGAGAGATCAAAACCGTATACAATAATTCGTCTCCTTTTTGAATTCGTCGGTATATTATTGAGAAGTAATGAATTTATTATTTGTTTTGCCTGCTTAATTATACTTAAATATACTTAAAATTAAGAAAATGTTGCAATTTTATGACAAACAATTCTCGATGTGGCACACGTCATTCCAGCGCAAGAGGTTAACCACTTGCGCTGGCAACTGATTGCGGACCATAACGAGTGACCAAACCATACACAATAATTTCTTTTTCTTTTGAACTAGTCGGTATGATATCATGGATAGAAATTATTGAGAAATAATAAATTTAGTATTTGCTTTGCATACTTAATATACTAAGTATACTAAATATACTTAAAACTGAGAAAGTATTACAATTTTGGGTCAAATATTCTCGACGTGTGAGGCACGTCATTCCAGCGCAAGAGGTTTAGGATATCCCTAACACTATTACCTTCGATACAACCTCTTCCTAATCGGTATAACGTCAATTCTTTTTTTTTTATTATTAGATTAAAGTACTACTTTACACAAATATGGACCGTTTATAAATGTTCAAATTTAACTGTCTTGATTAACTGTGTAAATATTTCGACGTGCATACTGTAGATTTATCCTTTATTATATAAATTTTTTTCTGTAATTACTGAATATATTTTCTATAATTCCTAAATATATTTTCTGTAATTCCTGAAATTCCTACAATTTGATTTTACACCCACTTCTGAGCGTTTTATAGAGAAGGTACTATCACAAGGCAGTAACACGGTACTTAACTTAATGAAAGACGCGACAAATTTAAGTTTATTGACCATGAAAGTCGTCAATCCGTTTTCAATGACGCTACTGACGATGATAATGTCGCCGTCGTAAAAACACAAACGCTGTTTGTAAACGTTGAACTGGCTGACGATTCATCGGATTGCCCTGTACAGCATAAAAGCCGTAAAAAGATAATCAAACGATTACTATCTTACGTACTCAGCGTACTCTGATATACGTTTCACTTTCATACGTTATACGAATGTGTTTTCCTTGCGTAAACAGCCACCCCGTTTGTTGATAATCTATACTGTTTACCAGAAGCAGGGCTCTTCTTAATAGAAAATACAGCACTTTATCCCATCCCGTGAAATAACCCCCTTTTGCGTATAATTGGACAATTTATATTATTTTTTTAAGCATCTTTTTTTTGATTAGTGTCACAGCCGATTTACATACATAAAATCGCTAGGTTCAATTGGATCATCCACGCGAGTTAACGTTGGCCACCATTTGCGTCGATATTCGACAATCGCAAAAATGGACAATCTCTAGATCAGTGGTAACTGTTCCTATCACCGATTCAGTGGAGCTGAACGATCCGTGGAAATCGCGAGCAGCAAAACAACGATAAAAATAAACGCGTTAGCACGAGCTCTGCCATTCGTCTCCACGAAAATAGTGCGTCTGCCCAAGTATTGAACGCACCTTTCCCTCCCCCGGACAGAGAAAAACGACAAGAATCACAAGGGATGGAGTACCTCTATTGAAAAGCTAGCTCGATAGACACCCGCGAAACGAATATTTTTCTTATTAAAAGAAAAATTGCCTCGTACGTACGTATTTTGAAATTTTTGACAAACACTCTGTTTTGAATTACTCCGATTTAAAGAACATTGTACGAACATGTCTTTGGAGAAGTTGACGTGAAGCAGAGAAGTTCACGATTTAGGAATTTACAAGATTGAACTTTTGCTTTTTTTTCTGTTAAACAGCACGTCCATCGAGTTGTACTTACAATTTAATATACTCGCACTTAGCAAAGTTTGCACGAAGAGAACAGTTCTCGTCAGGAATAATAACAACGGACAGGCAATTAAATGATTGATACTCTTTCATTCACACCGAGATCTTTATTTTTAATTTATACGAAATAATTACCATGCCGAATCGCGTGTAACTGAACTTTCCAGAAGAAATTACGATAAAAGAAAGAAGAAAAAAATAAGATATCGTCAACTTTTACTCTCGATATTTATTGATAATTATTAACAATGCTAAGAGATTACCATTCTGGTAATTTTAAAATATACAGACTCTTTTTTTTTATAAAAAAAGACGCATACTCCCTACTACTCATCCGTAATTGCAAACTCGAATTCAATTAAGAAAAGCCACTTTTCTAGATTATTATCATCCACCGACAAGCATCGTTTACTATAGCCAGCTAGACGTGTTTAATAGCTGAACTTCGCGCGCGACCGGATCGATCGAATCGTCTCACTATACCAACATATTATATTGACGAATGGGTGAGTCTGAACATGCTGGTTGCTTCTATTGGGAGACATGAGAGTCTATTGTGATGAGAAGCCATCTAAACCACATAGTATAACGAACCCGGTAAACGATAACTTTTATTTTATTAGACTGCTCACTTCTACCAAAACAAATTCGATTATTTCTCTTGAAATTGGAAATCACGGTTGAAGTACGTACAGCGGCTACGAAAGTGTATCGTATTAGCACACAAGACTGTATTATTCAAATCCAAGTATACTGAATCTCGTGTATCATTTTCGGTAATATTTTCGTAACACCACGAAAACTTCATACTGATGAATGTGGATAAAGTGTGGAATTTGATTTAAAAAAAAAAAAAGAATGCTTCGTTGGAAAGTGAAAACTGTGCAAATACTTTCTCGTAGTCACATTCTTTTTATTCACACGGTAGAAATTCATGTTCAGAGGAATGAATTCAATCCAATGGGAATGATCTTGAACAGCAAGAATCCAATCCTGAGAGGGAAAATTACTATCTGACCGGTTAATTACAATATTCTGAACTTGGATAACGTTCTGACTGAAAATTATCGATAACGAGGCTGGACAAACTATGATTTTCGTTTCGAAACGCTCTTGCGTTCTGATTAATTTTTGTTACCCTCGAGGGTAAACTCACGATACATCGCGCCGCATCTGTTGCAGCTGCTCTCAGCGTGCAGTATCTTTAGAATTCCCCTCCGGTTTCTTTGTCGCGCAGCGCTTTATTCGTGAACGTTCTTTTTCAGAAGAACTCGAGGAAACTACTGCCACGAAATGCGCCGAAAAGCCACCTACTTTCTCTCCTCCCTTTTTTTCCCTCCATCACCCCCATCCCACTCCTTTTTTTTTTTTGCTCCATCTTTCCTCTCCTTTTTTTCAAGTACATCTGGTAACACCAAACTCGATTTTCTTGACCAATAATTTTCTGTCACAATATTGTGAATTCGTCCATGTAGAGAATTTTTGACAATTTAATTGTTAAATGCTATATAATAATAATAATAAAAAATTACCACAATAATAATAATAAAAAATTACCATAATAGTAATAATAATAATAAAAATTACAAAAAATATTAATTTTTGACATTTGTGACGATTTAAAAGAAAAAGTTTCACCATATCAATTACTCTATATTTGCGTCTCGCGTTACATTTAAATTCGCCCGCTAAACTTTTTAATTTACCGTAAAATTGCGTGCACGTATTATTCTGGCGCAATTTTACTCAGCAATGATACGTATGAACGTTTGAGATAAATAAAAATTAAATTGGATGTCGTCGGATGGATCTCTACTCTTTCAATGCTTGCGGGAGAATATTCGTCATACGCGACACGGCTAAACACGTCGAACGGGTGAGGTCGAAGGTTACAATTCAACGAAAGCGGGAATTATCTTCTTCTTCTTGTTGCCTTTGTTCACAATTAGCCTTTGTTCGCCGCGCAGAACGTACGGTTCTGAGGCGCGCCAGAATTACGTTTCAATTTATAGCCCGTGTGTGTATCTAGCTGGCGAACGTCGGTAAAAGTGCAAACTGCTTCTCTCCTGCTTTTACGCCACGTTCCTTCCAATTTCCGTTGACAAAGCCCCGTATATTATTCCTTTGTCACTTTCGAATGCGATCGTTTGTTTCCAAACGAAGATATTCGACAGAAGACAAGGAAGAAAAACAAAAAACAAAAAAAAAATAATAAAAAAAATAATAATTATCCATCTTCAGAAAAAGAATTCGGGAAATGTAATTTCTAACTAAATTTCACGATAATTACAAAATCAGCGCTGAGAAATCTAAATTAAAAAAAAAGAAAAAAAAAATTCGAATAAAATTGAATAACATCCATTGCAATCTAATTACGATCCAATTAATCGAAACTTCGGAGCATGAGAAATTCAACAGATACGTAAAATATTCTAAAAGTAAATTAAATTCTTTTCAGCTAAGAGCTCACCTAACTGATTCCTGTTAATTAAGCAGCCGTAAGTGCTAATTTATTTTAATTTTCTGCTCGTAACAACTGTTCCGTGATTAGACGTCAAAGTTATTTGAAATTATCACTTTTACGTTTGTTAGAAAATTGCATTGCAAACGCGTAGCGTTTTCAGTGAGAACCAGAGTGATAAGTCGCGGTGTGGCGAGAAGGTTTGCAAGTTAATAAATCATCGTGCACAACGATGAGCGCACGTGTTGCATTTAACAACCGTAGAAATTCATAGCGGAACAAGTGTGTCGTAACTCAATACACCACTTTCATCGGCTAACGCGCGAGTTTTCAGGATTGAGTTACGCCCCACGCATCCGTCCACCTTGACAAACTAACGTACATTACATAAATTCTTCCAAGAAGCGCTGACACGATCGACTAAGAACGATACTTCACGTTTCTGTACAAGTACAGAACTGTCGTTCGAGCACAATTCTAAATCTAAGTTTAAGGGCAGGGGCGATGGACTCGCGTGAATTATTTCGGCCAATTGAGTTCTAATCGAATATTTTACTCTTGGCGAAAGAAATCGATAAATAATTAGTGATTCTTATCGCAACCTTTGCTTCGTAATTAACCCCTTTGCACTCGACTGTCCCTTCTATTTAACAGTCTTACTTAAATATCTAGTCAACAGTTTGCACTTCCTTCTTTATGATTGTAGATGATTGTAATGAACGTAGGTACAACATTTTAATTCATAATAAGGACAAAAAAAATTTCAAAAGAAGAGGAGGACAGAGGCAGTCGTGAGTGAATAAACTGAACTTCTCATTGCTCCTTACGAAAGTTTATAAAATGTCGAAGCCAATTATTTTTGGAAATTGTGTACCATTAACATTGTCTTCTATATATTTAGAAATATAATCGGCAAAATTTATATGGCTAAATACCATTTGAACTGGACGATTATTTCCAATGCTTGTAGCGATACTTCACTCGCTATTTCGTAAATAAATTTCTGGTAGATGATGCAAAAAAAAAAAAAAAAGGTCTCCGAGGGCAAAGGTTGAGCAATATATACGCAGCAGCTGTGTATATCTCGCAATGCGTGATAACAACGAAACATAAATACGCGAGCCTCGTTTCTCTGGTAGAAAATATCTACAACGTTTTTGTTTCGAAGAAACTTTCCATTTTTACCATATACAGGAAACGGGATTTTATTTCGAGGCGTCAGTGAGAAATTCGCGCAAGAAGGGAAAACAAACATGGCCGTGAAACGCGAATCCAAAATAAGCATGGCGCGAAGTCCGTGCAAATTACGTAAATAAACAGAAGAAGCTACGGCCATGATCGTTGAAAAAAAAAAAAAAAAGGAGCAAGAAGTTATCACGCGACACATGCATTTCTAACGCAATAAATATATATGAAAGGAAATGAAATTTTCTCAACTACGAGATACGCTGCTACTCGATCGTAAAACGATCTTCTCGAGCTGTTCTCGGAAATATCGTTCAAACGAGAGAGGAGCATCTCTCTTCCCAGGAAGATCCGTTGCCTTCCTGTGCCCTCATTGTTTGCGTTTCGAACCGTTGGATCGACTAACGATCAAATATTCAACAAAGTTTATTAAGCTAACAATTAAGTTTTCAATGACATCACCGTTCTTCTTCTTGTACTACAGGCCGCTAATTACTGTACGTAAACGGTGTGCTAGTTGAAAAAGCGTTTAATGACAGATGCATACACATGCATGTGAATAAGCAAAATTTGATATTTCATCGAATTTATCGGAATTAATTGACACAACGTGTACACGTGATGAGGTGTAAATACAAATTGAGATAAATTGTAAATGTATCGTGGAAAATATTTAATGATTTAATTAAAAATCTCCTGTTTTCTATACACTATGTGCATCAAAATATGTTACACAACATTTTAATCGCCTCTCGCATGAAAATAAATCACTGTTTAAATTATTATCGCAATTGAAGAGCAGTGCTTATGCAACGATACAGTGTTCGTTGCACTTAACATTTGATAATATCGATAATTGCTTTGTTTCGTCGTGACAACGTGCGACGAACATCCTTCACGGAAGATTAAAAATAAGCAACTGAAAATATCGATTCAAGTGGCATTAAAAAATATGAAATTAAAAATACACTATGAACGCTTGATCATTATCGAGCGTACGGGATACTATTATACCTGGCTTCTTTTTACGTTATTAACTTAACGAGATTACACGATTTATCTGACATTGATGGCCATTTGTATTTGAAAACATATCAAGAATGAAGCAGTCGTTCAGGAAAATCTCATTACAGAAGATATGCTATCTTACACACTTGAATGCACGAGGAATGTCCTTTATTTTGTTTTTTTTTTTTTTAATCGTTTCATACAACGAGAATAAAAATTGACGACGTGCTCGATTGGTCTGTCAACGAGTGTGCTCGAAGGAATGTATTTTATGAAGGGTGCAATGGCATCGATCGAAATTCACGTGTCAATCACGTGCAAATAAAACTAGCGGCTGTAAAGCACACGCACTGCACAATTACATACATACTCGTTTCTTAATTAATCTTATCAATCGCGCAGAAAGTAACCGAGAATGAGAAAACAATGGAGGCTGATGAATCTTTTCAAATTTTGCGACACAAGCGCATCCCACGAGCAAGTAATTGACACTGATGCGATTTATTGTTCTGAAGTCCGTTATCTATCGTTGCGCAACCTAGCGATTTCGAAAAGTGTAACAGTAGGACAGGTTCTCTGTCAGATTGCAAAAAAACCAATCGAACAGTCATAACAGCAATTTCGATTCTCTGAAGATTGAACGAGCGGCAGCATTTAATTCGTGTAAGACTCGTTTTATTGAAGATCTCTGAATGAAGAGATGACTCACCGAAATATTTGTCCGGCTCTAGACCCGAATCTTTATCCAGTCCACATATGACAAAATAATCCGCGAACCTCTGTGGATGTTGCTCTGGTCCGCGCATTATTCCCAGACTCCCGTTCATCTTACCCCGAGGAAATAGATCGAATACGGCTCACCTCCGTGGCAGACGAAGCACCCTCACGAAAACGATTTCCACATTATGAACCACCACGAAACTGTCATTTCACGCGAGAGCGAAACAACAGCTGATGTTGACACGTACAGAACGTAACGCACGACTCCGCGGAGTGCAGGCCTCTCGCCGCGAATAATTGATCTTTTAGTCCATCGAGCGAAGTTGGCCGCGAGTCGATTTTTCGTAGTTGGCGCTGAAAACTGGCGCGTAACTTTAAATCGCCCCTGTCCTACACCAGGACTACTTTAACTGAATCCAACGAATCAGTATGAGACTCAGAACTCAAATAAACGAATTATGCTTAAACGAACCGACTAAACATTGTTCACTTTTATTTATTTCCAAATTTATTCAACGCGTACACTCAGGTTTACTGAAAAATTTGCAATTTCGAATTCTGGCTTTGAAGGAAAGATTTGTAATTGTTTTACAGTTCTATACGTTTCAGGTGTAGTCGCAAAACGTTTTTCAGTGATTATTGTATCAAATCAGGGGGCAAGATGTAATAAAATAAAATCGATCGATATAGCATGAATGGGATTTCGCGTTGGTAAAACTGATCTAATACTTCATTGCGCCATCTGTATAATTGCACAGTGCCACAAATGTTTGTCCCGTTTGTTCACTCATGGACAGGTTAGATTTGTGCAATTCAACTTGAGTATCATTCGGTATTAACTATACTGTAGGAAGGTTTAGAATTTTCACGTTTTTACGGATAATGGAGGAAGTTGACAATATAATCATTCATTCATTGCGTCAAATAGGCTGGTAAGTTCTATTTTGAACGGCTTCACACGACGTTTAACAGACTTTTGATATCTGATATTAACCGGTTTTATACGACTAGTGGTGGGCGGTGATATTATCTGCATTAAATTCTATACTTTCGAATAGTAATTCGAAATAAATTCATAATTTATTTCATTAAACTGCGAGAGTTTCCTTAAATAGAATATAGATTGTGATATTGAAAGGGTTTTTGTAAACGATTGCTAAATGATTGCAAAAACGTGAAATAATTGCATGGAAAACACATCAGCTTAAGTAATATTCATTTAACATATAGGCATTATTTAATTCTTTCTTTCTTTTTTAGTAATTAAACGTTAAATAAAGTGTCATTTATATAAAAATATTTTGAAAATTTTTTAACATCAATTTTTTCAGTGACATAGGAGAGAATATAACAAATCTCAGTGGTTTCAATACTAACACAGAATTGGTAGTAGAAGCAACGGTAAAATGTTTGGACATAATAAGACCAGGTCTTGGATTGTCAACAGTTTTACCCGTGAATATGGCAGCCAGATTTCGACTAGGTGCTACACTTGCTCAAGCATGTTCAGTAAGATTTTACAAATATGAAAATTATTTGCGTAATTTTAACATTTTAATTTTGATACCTAATTTGTAAATTTAGGAATTAGGATACAAAGGTGATATTGGCTACCAAACGTTTTTATATAGCTCGGAAGGAGATCTGCGAAAAGTTTTTATGTTTCTTATTGAAAAACTACCAAAAGAAAGTGATAAACCTCTGAGTGAACCTGTTAGTAATGTTGCATTACTGGAAAAATCTATAGCTACAGCAATAGCACAAAGCCTAGCAGCTCCATGGTTGCCACATTATTGTCATACAAAGGGATTTAGAAATAGAGGAAGAGCGAGAATTCCTTATAAATCTGTAAATTTAGAAGTTCCAAAAATGGAAAGTAAGGAAGGTAATGTTGCTCATTTTTAATGTATTTCGACGTTATTGAACTGAATATACTTAAATTTTACTTATCGCAGTATACCAAGATTATTGCATACATTATATGCAATCTGTGCCTGAGCAAGTGCAAAATCAATCATCATTTCTACCTTCTTTGATATCTTACAATGCAAGAGCTCTTCATTCACATTCAATGAGTATTCTTGATCAAATAAATTGGTTAAACAAACAATATTGCGATAAAATGACTGAAGCTAATATGCCTGGTGATGTTAATGTTCTGAACAGGGACTCGACAAAAAATACAACATTACCCTCTACAGTAAGCTTTAAAAAATATTGGTAATGATTGTAGACTCATTGAAAACTTTTCTATTAATTTCTTGTTACCTTCTTGTATATAGCAACCTCAAATAAAAGATAATGGCACTAGAGAAACTAAAATTGTAGATAAAAAAATATTAGATAAAATGGAAAAACAAGACTTACAAATAGAAAAAATAAAAGTAGAATGCGAGGGTCTCAGAAATGATATGGAAAAATTACAAGACGCAATCAAGAACCTAACTACCAGTGTAACACAAGTAACGACAAATTATCAAAACGAAGAAAAAGAATTGACAATTAATGAAGAACAAAAGAAAATCAAAGCAAGAATTTACGATCTGTTTCAAGACGGCGAAGAAAATATTAAAAAACTAGAGGCAGCAATTGAAACAACAACAAGTAAATTAATCAATTTAGGTAATCAGTGGGAGAAACATAGAGTGCCTCTAATTCAAAAGTATAGGCAAGAAAGAGAAAAACATTCTACTAAAGCTGTAAGTACTGTCATTTTGATATAAAATGAAATTCACATACAAAATGAAAATCTCATGTATTTAATATGTTTAGAGTGCAAGCCAAAAGAAACTTGATGATATAAAGTTATTAAAAGAAAAGGAAAGAGAACTACAAGAAGAATGTCGTAATAAAGATCAACAATATTCGCAATTGGTAATTGAAGTTCAAAAATTACCCAAAGAAGTGAATAGATCCGCGTACACCCAGCGAATTTTAGAAATAATTAACAACATTAGGAAACAAAGAGATGAAATTAATAAAGTACTAGTTGACACGCGTGAAATCCAAAAAGAAATTAACACGCTTACAGGCAGACTAGAAAGATCCTTTACTGTTGCCGATGAATTAATATTTCGAGATGCAAGAACGAATGAAGCATCGAGAAAAGCTTATAAATTATTAGCCACACTTCATTCTGATTGTAGCGAACTTGTAAGTCTAGTAGAAGAAACAGGTGCAACTATAAGAGAAATAAGAGACTTAGAAGAGCAGGTAAATAAGATTCTTATATCGCTTACAAAACATTAAAACAATATAATTAAAATAATTTTTAATGCATCTCGTTCTAGATTGATTCTGAAGCTACAAAAAATGTTGGAGCAAATTTGGAAAGGATAACTGCTGATTTGAAACAAATGAAACAAGAAACCGCGGAATTAACGGCACAGTTACAGAATAAAACTTCGTGATTTTTACATAATCTGTGATATTATGGTATATTATTTGTAATAACAACGACCAGGTAAAAGTTCTATTAATATTAAAAGAAGAATCAGCTAAAATTTTAATTATAATAATAATTTTTTACCAAAATTAAAATTATATCGTATTTACAGGACATTCCTTATAAACGAATACGATTACGAAGACCAAATTTTATAATTATGCAAAATTTGTTACATTGCTGCCTGAAAAACAGTCTTTAACAGTTATTCTAAGTTCAAGAATAACTGTTAAATGTGTGCCTTGGTCCAAAGTTGTATACGTAATGCTAATCTTGCTTACAAATGGGCCAAGATGTGACATGATGGACTCAATATCAACGCTCAAACAGAACGTTATTTGTTACAGAGCCTAATAATTTTTTAGCATAAACTTTAATTGTACAGTTAACTTTCATATTTCTAAGAAATAAATGGCTTTAGAAATATCTGCTATAAACCTATATAAACGTTTAAGAAAATACTATTAAGTGATTATGTACAAAATATGAGAGATAAATAATATGATACATATTTTTACTGTTCCTCATCATTGTAGACCCTTTAACTTTTGTAAAAATTTGATTCATTGATTAAAATTTTATCTAGACACATTTATTCAACAATTATAAATATGCCAAAAATTATTCATTTTATGTTTAAATCATGGGTGGTGTATATTCCGCCTCTCTTTCTAATTTCTTCAATTTTCTTTCAGCACCATGAATTTTAGCGACTCTATCCATTTCTTCCTTTTCCTTTGTTTCTATTTCCTCTATCTCTAGTTCTATTTGTTCTTCATTATCAAAGAAAGTTAAATATCGTTCTTGTCTCTTCATTTCTTCCTTTAATTTTTGTATTTCTAATTTTTTAGCTTTTTGATTTATTAGTTCTATTTGCTTATCTAATATCAAATTTCTCTTCTCTTCCCATTCAGTATATTTCTGAAATATTAAGCAAAAATAAAAGATAAAATAATAAACAGTAAGTTTAATTAATTAAATCTTTTTCTCTGCTTTTTACTGTATTTAATTACCTGTAACTGTTCGTTTACATCTATATCATGTTGCTTTTCAACTGCAGATTTAATATTATTTTTTAATGTTTCAATCAAATTGCCTTTACACAAAGTCTTTCCTTTCAACACACTGACTTCTGACATTAATTGTTCAAACTCATTTGCTGCTGCCTCTTCTTTAAATACTTTTTCTTTATCTTTTTCGATTAAATCAAAAACTTCACTGTAAATAACATCTCCTTCAACTTCATTCAACCATTGTTTTATTGAATTTGATGCATCTTGATATTTTTTATACAATATCAAACCTCTCAACTGGCAAGTCCTACCTAATGCATTGTTCATAAATCTTCCTTGAAAAGCCAATGTTTTCCCAACTAAATCAAATGGATCGGTGAGATCAAAATGATCGTCAAAGAATGGATTTCTAAGATAACGTACACGTATTTTTATTTCCTCTTTAGTATCTTCTACTAGTTCTGGTGGCTTTTGCCAGGCATCTGGATTTTCTAAATATTTATGACAAGCATATATAGACAGCGCGTTAGTTATCAAATGATCAGTATCCTCTTGCAACATAGGCAAAACAGCAATTTTTGCAGCACTGGCGTAGTCTTCTTTCTTTATGTATTCGTTCATCAGCATGTTGTAACACACGTAATCAGGGAAAATGCCGTACTTAAGTCTGTTATGTAAGACATTCATGAGTTCTTGAGTACAGCCATTGTCAAACAGATATCTTATAACAGCATGATGCGTTGAATCTAGAGTATTTGTTGTTTCTGCACTTTTTCTAAGTCTCTCGAGTATATTCAATAATTCATCTACCTGTTCCTTGCTCTTTACAGTATTGGCAAATATGTCTACATCTACTGCGCTCACTTTCCCATGAGCAAAAAATTGACTGTCTAATGATATAAATAAATCTTCTGGTTTAAATTTTTGTAACAGCGGAGATTGAAGACGAGATTTCCATGCCTCCTGGCACTGGTATGCTTCTGACAGAAAAGATCGTTTCTGGACTACAGTTTTGTAATACACTTTTCTGCCAGATCTAAATATCTTCAACATTTTATGTTCCATACTTTATCATTAAATCATATTTTTAACAAAATAGCTTCATTATCTTCCCATTTACATAAATCATAAGAGGTTATAATTACAATTGCAACATGATGTATGAAAAAGAATATATTATGTCTTTTTTTGAATTCGACGCGGTGATAGTAAAATTAACCTATAATTTCTATTTATGCGATCCTATTTATATTATCCTTTGTATGCAGTTTTCCAAAATTCTTAAAACACTTTCAACGTGAAAACTTTTCACCTCACTTGAATCTAGCTATGATCTATAGCAACCACGCATGTGGCGGATTCTCGTATGATTACGTTACATGTGCCTGTGTTTATAAATATATATACATATCTGGAGAACGCCGAAACCAATTCTGACTAACACTAATTTCGTGTTAGATCAAAATCATTTTAAACAACATCTGGAAGATAGTACACGTTTTCTAGAATGGTAAGGAACACGAATAAATTTATAAATTATCACGACACAAAGGTTATGTCGTCTATGATATGCGATCATTGCAAAGCCGAATTTGACATTTTTTTCAGTATTCGTTACTTAATAAGACTGAGAACGCACACGAAGATAGTATTTGGACCTGTGCTTGGGGCTGTTTGAAAAAGAAGAGGGAATTACAACCGGATAATGAAGATTCACGGTAATTAATATTGATGTATCTCTTTCCATCATTATTTACATCTTGTGCATAACTTTCTCTTTTGTATGACAGTGAATCGATACAGTTTAACGAGGATGAAACAATGGAATATTTGGTAACTGGCTCGGTCGACGATGCTGTTAAAGTTTGGGAACAAAAGGAAAAAAGTTTACAATTAAAATATAAGTTGTCTGGACATTCGCTTGGTGTAGTATCTGTTGCTGTAAATTCAGATGGCTCCAGTGAGGCATTTATAATGTTATGCTATTTCTTTTGTATTATATTTTAATAAATATATTAGTAAGAGAATTCATTTATATAAGTAAGAAATATAAATGAAAATATACACGCGTGCTTTTAGAATGTGCATCAAGCTCGTTAGACTCTAGCTTAAAGTTATGGGATTTGGAAACTGGAGAGAAAATGTCAAGTATTGAAGTAGGCCCTGTAGATATCTGGACGGTAGTATTTTCTCCGGATGATAAGTTCATTGTATCTGGTAGTCATTCTGGTAAAATACATTTGTATGGAACGGAAAGTGGTAAACAGGAACAAACTTTGGATACTGGGGGGAAATTTATATTGAGCATTGCCTATGTATGTATTTCAATGTTATTTACAATCGTATAATATCGTTCAGAAATAAATTAAAACAAATTTTGCATTGTATAATCACTTATTTTAGAGTCCTGATGGTAAATACATTGTTAGTGGTGCAATTGATGGAATTATCAATATCTTTGATGTTACTTATGGAAAGATGTTGCGTGCGTTGGAAGGTAATAAAAAATTTGTTTTGTTAATATTTAACGGTTTATATTCATTAATATGTATAATTTTTAATGTTTAGGACATGCAATGCCTATTAGGTCACTTTGTTTTTCACCAGATTCTCAGTTATTTCTAACTGCGTCAGATGATGGACACATGAAATTGTACGATATGTAAGTAATTTAAGCTGTTTAATCTTTGAACTGACATAAGTTAAAGATATGGTTAAAAGACTGATTATCTCTTTGTTTCTTTTTTTTTTTCCATTTAGGAAAGATCCTAATGTAGCAGGAACTATGTCAGGTCATGCTTCGTGGGTACTTGGTGTTGCTTTTTCTCCAAATGGTCAACAATTTGCATCTAGTAGTTCGGATCATACAGTTAAAGTGTGGGACCTAGCTCAAAGACAATGTTTACATACATTTAACGAACACAACGATCAGGTAAGATGTTACATCAATACCATTTATAGGATTTTTTGTTGTAAATTTAAATACTTTGTTTTTCTAGGTATGGGCTGTAAAGTACAATCCACAAAGGAATAACATAATTGCATCAGTATCTGAAGACAAATCCATTAATCTTTATGAATGTCCATTGTATGATAAATAAATTTTTATAATTATGAATAACTGTGTATTATTTTATATATATATGTATATATTATACAGTTTAAAATGTTATATTTTGCTACGACCGAAATAAAATAGACATTAGTAGCTATAAATTTTATTGTTCTTAATATACAAATTATTAAGATATCTGCCGAATCTAAAATACAATATAACAAAAAGACGAATTATTACATAAGATCTAAGTAAAAGATGAAAATTACAAAAGAACCCTGAAAAGGAATTCCGGTGTACAGACCAAATCTTGTATAAAGAAAGAAACGTAAAGCTACCCCGATATGGTTCCAAGTTGGAAGGGTTAAATCTAATTAACTCGAACTGGAACAGGGTACAAGATGCGTGTAATAAATACGTAAACAATGAACAGTAAAATCTGTTCTATATCGTGTCAAACAGTTTCCTTCTAATGAGATTTTTAGATCGATCCAGCGTACATAGAAGGAAAGATGACGCGGCATAGGAGAAAACTTAAAGTATCGCATACGCATTAAACAATTCAAGTATATAGCAAATTTCTCAGTAAAAACCGACGAACAAAAATGAGAATGTATGAGAGTAAAATTATTAAACGTGCCATGCCAATGCCTCTCAAACTTTCCGACCTATAAATACATAATTGATCCGTACACACTCTTAATTGTACCTACATGTATTTTAGAAAGGGTAACAGTCGAATCAGTAGACACATGCAAATCTGATTTTCCTTTTTTTATGTAATACATATATGACCAAAATAGAAGCTATTTTAATTGTAGATTTTCAAATAGACTAGAAACTTAAAGTAAAGGTTTACAAAATTTTGTCTCTTCACCATGTAATGCCAGTTTAGCGTTACTTAGACCGCTACGATCGATATAAACATCACTACCGTTTTTTTTCTGTTCTTTTTTTTTCTATCGTAACATTCTGCTGCGCTGAAAATGTCCAAGTTGCGTCCGAATCTTCATCGTGTTTCTATCAGTCTTTAAAAAAGTAATTAGACTTTGTATTCGCTTTAAAAGGATACAAATCAGCTTACGATGGAAACAAAATACAGATCTCATTCCTTGCGAATTTATCTATTACGAAGATGTATAGCGATACCATTTCTGCGATATACATCACGAGTCGTAATACGTATTCACTAAACTTTCTACATTCTTCATCGACGTTCAATATATACAAAATTGAATAAATAATCGAGCAATAATTACTGCTACGTACTACCGATTTTTAATTTTCATCGTATAATCATGGAATTTCTCAATATATGTATATACAACACGTAAAGTGAATAGGAATGATATATCAGGATTTTCGGCTATGTCACATTTCAATTAATATACCTCTTTAAAAAACTCGGGGGAGATAATAAAAACTGCACTGCCAATGCACGTGCAACGAAGAGAAGAAGAAAAAAAAAATTACTCAAACGTTAATTACTCTTCCTGTCTTGTGTAAAAATTAATGAGATACCATGAAGATTTTCCGTGTCCTCGAAACGATGCACGAGGTATGAGAGAAACCTTTAACTTACTTATCGAGCAGTACTCGTAATACGTAATGCGCGTCGATTTACGATCAACGCGGCAAGTAAAGCAAATGTACAATGACTAGCCTGAAACAGAAAAGCGATACTACGAAAGGATAGCTGTTTACTTCAGAACAGGCTCTCCCTATACCGTTGTCACTCTCGTGGAACCTGTGACTATGTCGCTGTGACAATCCGTCGCCACTTTGAATTTGCTTTCGGTTTCGTCCGGCGTTACTTTAGCTATCTGCGAGGGGACGTCTTGCTTCGGGTTGTAATTGAAGGGCGGTACAATGGCGGACGCGGGTGTACGCACACCGACCCCATTAACGTAGCCCTGCGCGGAGCCTTCGGCGTTCGCTGGGTCTACTCTTATGAAGGAGCCAAGGCGCGATATTCGTTTCGTGGGGTCCACCTCGGTCGCGGAGGTCTCGGTGTTCTGCGATTTTCGCAACACGACCGAGGTGGTATCACCCACGTCCACGGTGTCCCTCTTGTGCGACGACGCCTCGCCAGACTTCACAGGGATCTTGCAAGGGGCGTCGTTCGCGTTCATTCCGCTCAGGTCGCACGAGTTTCTGTATTTCGCTTTGCTCGGCTGCACGCCCATTACCAACGGCCTTTTCAACTTTGATTTGTACAGAGCCGACTCCGGATGATCATTCTCCTGGGGCATCCCTTCGAACGTCGAGCTGCGAAACAATCTGAAGCGGGGATCGCACGCGGGAGACGGAGAAGCGTCCACGTCGTTGGCACAGTTGCCAGGCTGTAACCACTGCCTGGTGTCTGGTTTCTCGAAACGTTGCCTGTTCTTGCTCTCCTCCACCTTCTTCCAGAGGCTTGCGATCTTGCTGGTCGCTTCCTTCGCCAACTTTCTCGTCTGCATGCTCGTCGACGAGTTCGACACGATGCTGGAATTGCTGTTGGATCTCTGACCGAGGGGACCTACCTTTCGAAACGTTTTGCCGCTCTCCGCTTGCGCGGGAAGAACGTTTTGATTGTTGGCTGTCGAGATTTTCGGCGTTGCGGCCACCTTTCCCGTGGGCAGTCGTTTCGGAGCGACGAGCAACGGCAACGTTGCTTTCGACGGTTGAATCTTCTCCGAAGGATTAGCCTTCGACGACGATTTTGATTGGTGCGCCTGGTGCGTTTTCGGCGAGATCTTCGGCTTAACGGTCGTCGGATGCACCTTGGACGTCGCGCCTCTGATCGGCTTTGCGATTTTCGTTTTTATCGGGGAGGAGGACGAGGACACCACCGTGGGCGCGTTCTCCACTTCCGGCTCGTCTTTGGTGAACGTGCCTTGCCGTTCCAACGGCTTCACCGTCACGTCTGTCTTCGTCTCTTGCTGGTAATTCGAGGAAGAGCAGGTCGGTGGCGTGCTGTGTCTTTTCACCGATTTCGTGAACGTGAACGACGATCCCTTTTGAGGGACCGACGCTCTCTTCGCCGCCACTGATATCTTCGTTCTCTTGTCGTCTGTCGAGCTAGGAGCGATCGCCTTTGACTTTGCTGGCTCTTTCGTTCCGACGCTCGGACTGTTGTTGTTATTATTTTGTCTGAGAGTGGTAGCTCTGGTTGCTCTCACGATCGGCGAGGTGTTGCTACGGCCTATGGGAATTCCACTGACGGAGTTCGCCTGTTTCAACGGCGACGACTGCGGCGTCGGCTTTCGCGTAATCGGGTTCGAGTAGAGGGCTTTTCTCCTGCCTCGAATAGCCTTTGGACTCTCCGGGTCCGACTTGTCCGTGGCGTTGGAGTCGTTGCTGGGATCTCTCACCATTCCCGGTTTGATTATTCGCGGCCTCTTCGTTTCCCTGGGTGGCCCTTCGGTGTTATTCGACTCGTCCTCGCTCTCAGTTTCAACGTTCTCGTTGTACCTCGTGTCTTCCTGCAACAACCCGACCTCTTCGATCTCCGTCGTCTCTTCTGGCTCTCGCGCGCCGTTCATCTGCTCAGCGCACGAGCCTATCAGCTTCTTCGAAACGCCGTTGACGAATCGCATCCGCAAGTTCCGCTCCGACTCTGACTCGTTCGACACTAAGCTGATGGTCTCGCAATCGAGCAACCCGTCATCGCCAGTTTCACTCGCCTTGTTCGACTCGTTCAACGTGTTCAAAACGATGGTCGCGTTCTGCTCGAGCATCGTTTGAATCTCATCCGGCTCGATGTTGCGCGTCGAGTCCGCGCAATTCCCCTCCGAATCTCGGAATATTCGCTCCGAATCGTTCAGCGTTCTCGTGCGATATCTTTCCCTGTTCTTCTTCTGCTCGGCGCGCTTCTTGATCAACGTCTTGCAGGCGGACAATTTCGTCAACGTCGGGATGGCGGATTTCACCGGGGATATCGCTCCGGGGGCAGGCTTCTCGGAGTTCTCTTGCTCGCAAGCAGCGTTAACATTGTCCTGTTGATTAGTTTGATCGTGATTCGTGTCGGGGAAGGGATTTTCCAATACCTGCGTTTGGAACCTGGCTCTGTCCTCCTGTCTACGTTGTTTGGGCGTTAACTTGGAGAACGGCGAGATCTTTCCTCGCGCGATTTTCTCCTCAACGACGTTCTCTTTACGCTGTTGTTCCTCCTCCTTCTTGTCGAGCTCCCCAGCTATGGTGTACGTCTTGTATCTTTCCTTCGCCATAGTTCTCTTCTGCTTCGGCGTTAGATTTCTGTGCAGTCGTTTCCTCGGCGTGGACTCTGCCGAGCTAGTGACGCAGTATTCCGACGAGATCGGAGTGACTGCCTCGTCGGTGTCGCCTGCCTCGTCGATCCTGTCTATCGTGACAGGATGCGGTGCTTCTTCGGTGTGCAGTTCAGCGTCGATGCACAACGTGTCGCTGCATATCGTCTCCGTAGCCTGTTCCATCGTCGACTCGTCCATCTCGCACACTTCGTTGAACAACGAGGGCGGATTGATGTTCTCCAGGCACTCGCTCATGCTGTTGTTCGCGCTGTTCTGCATCGCCTCGGCGTAACGCATGCACGTCATGGACAGCACGTTGGCGACCGGTTTCAGCAGGTCGAAGACGGCGTCGCTTCCGCTCAGGTTCTGCGTGTCCTGATACTTGGAGTCTGCCACTTCCGACGTGATGCTCGCCACGCTCAGCATGCTGTTCTCCATGTCGCCGACGTCCGGCAGTTCGTCCATCATCGACGGTGGTTTCACGCTTTCCAAGTGGGAGCCGGTGCACTCGTTCAACAAATTCTCCAAACTGCCAGCGTGGCTCTGTGTCTGGCTGAGAGCCCTCTTAGCAACGACGCCCAAAGGGAGGGACTTCTTGCGACAGCTTCGTGACTCCGACGACGATACCTGATTCTTCACCTGAGCCGGAGGCAAGGACGCGGAATTACACCTGTCCCGATTGACGAACGACTCGCTGCAGTCACCCGAGCCGGCGTAGCTGGCTGTCAACGACAGCAAGCTTCCCATCGAGGAGGGAGGCTTGATCGCTTCCAAATCCATGGACGTTATGCTAGTCGCCTCCAGCTCGTTCTGTCTGTTCATCTCCGCGTCCACCGCCTCGGCCAGCTTAATCGCCTCCCTCTGAATGATTCTCGAGCTGGTCATGTGCCCGCTCTCGCTGCTCGCCGTCTCGTAACACTCCGAGGTGACTGTCCCCGGTTCCTCTGGCACGTCGCTCTTAAACGAGCCGATGATCGGCGCGCTTATGCTGATGCTTGGAAAAGAGATGTCGTTCGGAGTATCCTCGTTCCACGTGTCGCTCAGTATGCTCTGTTTCATCGTGCTCGAGTCTCGTTCGCGAATCGCCTCCGTTTGTTGCACGAGAGTCGCGGTCAATCGATCCAACGAGGCGATCATGGCGTCCGGATCTCTTTGACGACGATACACGTCTTCCTTCTCCACGTGTTTCGCCGAGTCTGCGAGCTTCTGTTTGTACTTGGAGTCGACCTCCTCTTTTCTAACGCCGTCGACCTCGCACGTGTCGCTGTACGCTTTTTTGCTGTCGTTCGAACTGCCGATCTGTCGGTCTCCAAATTCATCGTCGGCTCGACTCGAACCCGAAGTATTAGTCAGCTGAATATCGTCCATGGCTTTCGTCAGTCCAGGCTGTATGCAGAGTTCTAGAAGCGCGTGTTCAGACTGTTCAACGGAATCGATCGATTCGCTGCTCTCCGAGTCTTTGGCGTAAGATTGTTGCATGGGCGAATTCTCGGTCGGCTTGCCTCTCGAGTTCTCCGACGTTCTCTCACTTTCCCATTTAACGCAATCGTCGTCTATGTTTTGATCGTTGTCGATGAGATCGTTGTGAATCAAAGACGACATGTCCTCGTTCGACTGTGTATCGATACTGGACAGGTATTGTTGCTGAGTAGGTTCTGTGTTGAACACTACCGTTTCGTGTAGTATCGGGCTGTTTCTCAAGTACAGATTATCGTCGCCTAATATCGAATTGTGCTCCGTGTTTGTCACCTTGTCCAACTCATTCTGCAGATCTTGATTCGATGGTTGCATTGGAATTCTAGTTTCCACCATCTGAAATGAAATGAAGTTTGTCCATTGTAATATAATTACAAGCAATGTATAAAGGTGAGATGATAATATTAAGTAAGATAATATATTATATATAATATAATATAATATAATATACAATATAAGATAATATAATAGATGATAAAATCGCTACCTTTTGCATAAATTTGTCCAGACTTTGATTGCTATCTGAGACGATATTCATGTTTGATGAATTATCATTGACATTGTTATCTGTACAAATGTCGGGGTTTATTATTTCTTCGGATCCCGATCGTTTCGTATCAAGACTGTTCATGGTAGAATCGATTGACGAATTACATTCCATTTGATCTAATGCAACGCTCGTTTGATATCTGGCGAGATTACTTTCATTTCGCGAGACTTTCTCGAAATTATTCCCTATAAACGAATGCCTGTGCCTAGAAAGAAACGTAAACACGTGAATTTTACTTGATAAAATAAATAAAATAGACAGAGTAAATTTCGAAGTACGAATCGATATATTCACCTATTGTTTTGCATTCCAATGTTAATACAAGCTGTAAGCAAATCTTCATCGTCCTCATCACCATCACTGACTTGATCTAAACATTCGGAAGAGTTGTTTATATTTAATATATAAGGCATGTTACGGGTATCTCCTTTTAGTTCAAATTCCTTACATCCTGAATCATTGGAAGCCTTCAATGCATTGGCCACGTACGAATTAACTCCGTTGTTGGGATAATTTTTATCGAATTTGTGGTCATGAGTGTCATATTTTTTTTGCATATCTATAATAAAACAGACGCAACGCCGTTTAAAACATTTCCATCGAATTCTATGTTTCTAGAAACATATCTGTGTTTACATCTCTGTATTGTCTCGTTCCGATTACTTTACCTGGCTTATTTTTTGTAGAATTGGACGCTATATTGTCACTCTCGTCGTATTGTAAGTTGCTCGAGGGCACTTGTGTCAATGTTGCTCTTAAGCTGTGAATAAAACAACACAAGTTTCGTTGTAACGATTTCAATTAATTTCACTAGCCATATATATATATATATATATATATATATATATATATATATATATATATATATATATATATATATAATACTACAAACCTTAATGGAGTTTTCACAGAAGCGCGATTATCTTCCTCGACGTTACTGTCCTTGATGTTCGTTTCGAAGTAACGCAACGGCTGATTTCCCGCCTTGTCGTTCGAAACGTCGTTCGTACATTCCAGAGTCAATTCCTCCTTGTCCTGTAGTTTACCCTGCTCTTGAATCCTCTTCAACAAACTCCTCTGTCGACTGTCCTCTTGCAGATCGGACGCCGATGCCGCTCTAGACGAATTTAAAGACGTGCCGTGAGGCGTCCCTTCCGTGCAATAAGTTTTCACCGTGTCCTCGTGAATGAGCTCTTGATCGTTGCTCGGGAAGTAATGGGAGTGTGGTTTCTCCTCGTCTTCGAGGCTTCGTTCGGCGTAGCGCAGGCTGTAGTCGGTCGGTTGATCCAAATCGGTCTCGGCGTAATCGCTGAACAAATTCCCCTCTGTTCGATGAGCGATCGTCGGCGAGATAGCCTGTTGGATGGTGTTCAGCGAGTTGTGCTGGTGCAGAACGCCGGTCTTGTCGTAGACGTTCCCGTAGCTGATGGTATCCTTCACGGGAGAGCTGTTGTTGACTGCGAACGACAACGAGGTCGAGGTTTCTATCCCTGTGTTCGCGGTTCTTGCGCGGACGTTCAGCTCCGTTTCCTCGGTGACGCTCGATTGGCTGCCGGTCTTGAGCGCGGACGCGACTCCCTGTGGCAAGTTGTCCTCCACCGAAGAGTGCAACAAATTCTGCGAACAGGCGGACTCTTGATCCGGCGCCGAGGACCAGGATATGGTGGAGTTGGTGCATCTAAGATCGCCGAGACCGCCGTTGAAACCGTCTGACGGCTTCAAACGATCCGGTATCGCGTTCTTGTAGCGTAACGTGTACTTCTTCTCCGACGAGGTCCTCGAGTGAACGTCGCTGCTGGACATCCCGCTGTCGAAACCGACCGCGGAGTGCAGCGACGAGGACTGCTGTTTCATTTGAACGTCGGTGGGTGAGAGACCGTTTAACACGTGTCGATTCACTCTTTCGAACATGGTGTCGGAGTGGGTGCTCGTCACGGAGCGCATCGAGTCTCGACTTTCGCTTCTGGCCACTCCGTTGCATTTCGCCAGGTTATTGGACGTGCCAGGCTGATTGTGCAGCTGATAAGAGCGCAAAGTGCGCGTCGCGTTGATCCCTAAGAAGCTGTGCTCCACTTTGAACGAGAACTTGTCGTCTTTGTTGGTCGGGGACGTGCTCGGCTCGATGTTGTCGCACGTTTCCGCCAAGTTTTGATCTATCTCTTGCTCCAGGGCTCTCTGCCTGCGGGCAACCAAAGTTGGTAGCGTCGGAAGGCCCAGACCGCGCGCCGTCGAATCTAGATGGACGAGATTGTTACAGCCCGGCCTGGCGCTCAGCAAATTCTTCAACGCAGCGCTCGAACCCATCGAGATCATTTTGTGCTTCGAGTGAATTAAACTGCGAAGCATCGGAACGGCGCCGAGGTCCCACAACAGGCGCTGATCTTGAGGACACCGGGCAGAGAGGTTCCACAGAGCCCCGCAAGCGTTGCTGACGACGGTTAAACTGGGCGATCGCAGTTGCTGCAACAACACTTGCAAACATCCTCTTTCTCGCACGATGGCTCGATAATCCTCCCTGACGGCAATGTGGCTGGACACGTTTCTCAATATGCCACCGGCGTTCTCCACAATGGCCAAGGTTTTGGACGGTGCTTTGTAGCTCAGCATGTCGACGAGGAACGCCAGCGCACCGTCCACGGCGCAAATGTCTACTTTGTTCGTGCTACAGTGCGCCGACAAGTTCCAAAGCGCCGAGAGTATCGACTTGAGCGTTGATTCCTTTCTGCCCTCCATCGCGGCCTTCATCAAACCGGTCACCGCCCCTACTTCCCTCAAAGTCTGTTTGCTGCTGGTGTCAGCCCGCCACGACAGATTCCTCAGTACAGACGCCGTCACCTGTCTGAGGTCGTCGCTCGGGCTCCTCAACTGGGAGACCAGAGCCTTCATGAACTCCCGAAAGGAGCAGAGCAACGCCTTGTTGTTCCCGTCGCCGAACGTCAGGTTCGTCAACGCCATTCCGGCATATCTGCGCAAGGTGATGCAGTTCTGATCGTCGCACTCGCTCCCATGAGCCATGTGATCCATCTCGATCAATTCCGCGACCGCGTGAAGCCCGCCAAGCTGGCACATGGCGTGACGATGGGCCTCGTCGAACGAAAGCTTCATCAACGCGGCTATCGTCGGTCCAGGATGCCTCTCCAGGTCGTCGGGAACTTGCCCCGTTTCCAGAGACGTCCTCAGAGCCTGACAATAGTCCCGTAATTGCTCGAGGAACCGGAGGACCCTCGCCTCTCGACGCCCGGCCCTCTCGTCGCTTTTCGCGTATACTATATTGTGCAGAGCGCGGGACGCTTTCTCTCTGGTTTCCGGATCTTGCCCTGGTGCGTGGATCAGCTGCACCAACAGCGGCAGGCATCCCGACTGCCTCATTATTAGGCAGTTGTCTATCGAACTGCTCATCGAGAGCAGCGTCGCGCTCATGTCTTCCCGGCCTTCCGTGCTGCCGAGCATTCCCAATAGATTGTACACCACGTCCACTTTCGCTCCTAGCCTTCGATCGCCTTGCATCTCCGTGGAACAGCCGAGAGCCCCGCCCGAATTCGAGGAGAAGCTCATCACGCTGGCTACGTCCTGCGAAAGAGGATGGTTATTAGCGTCGTTTATTCGCTTAAACGGGACATTTTTGATTAGAAGGTAGCAATTAAATTATTTCTTTTTTTTTTTTTTTCAGCGACTGAAAATATTCTTCCTAGATCCACATGGAAATGTCTTTTCTTTTTATTTTTTTTTTTTTTTTTACAACGTGTAATTTGTTTTTTACTATTTTAAAAGTAATTATTTATTTTTTACAATAGTTTTTATAACATCGCGAGCCAATGAAACGAGCATCTATCGCGGTGAAACTTATTGCACTGCTCGTTGGGACTTTAGCCGCAGTAAATCCCCTTGTGTAATAATGGTAATGCTCGGTGCGACGAGTCAAACTTCTTTTTCGCAGGTCATTGCTCCCGTTTCAGCGTCGTCTTTGCGACAGGTTACGTATTTATTAATATCACCGTCCTGTTCATTCAATCCGCGATACACCACAGACTGCGCAGGTATTTACATACTTTTGTGCTCCAAATGTACGTGTATTTAATTGTTTGAAACGACGCTCATCAGAGTAAGAAGTTATTGTTTCACGGAACGGGACAAGCTTACATTATGTACAGTAGTTGATGTGCTCTGCTGGGTGGAAAAGCCCATTTGTTGATTGGCCCATACGTCTCTTCTGATGGGCCAAGTCCCCCGATAAGAAGATGGTAATCTGTGGCCGTGCAGAGATGCGTCCGGTTTGCTGTCTTCCTCGCTGCTTCCACCCTCATTGTAGCGTTTATTCCTTCTCGTATAGATCTGCCGAAAAAACGTGATTAAACGTATAATTTCTATTAGCCAGGAAGCTCCCTCTGTATCGTCGTTTCACTTTGATGTTTCGTCGTTTCGTTAAGAAAATTATATTTCGTACGAACCAAGTGTGTCTCCCTTTCGTTTCAATTTCGTTAAAAAAAAATTGTATTTTTTACCCCGAGTTCGTTCTCGAAACGCTGTGCCAATCAGTTCCTTTTTCTTTCAGAGGAAAAAACAGATAGGAAAGAACACGCGCAAATTCGAATTTCCCGCTGAAGGGGGAAGGGAACGGAAGCCTGCTTATCCTTTACGCGAAATAATCAACGCTATATCGTGGCCCGTAAGCGGCTTACGTTTTCGCGCAGGCTGCGAAATAAATTCTTGCGAAAATGTTCGAGTCGAGAAGGGGAGGCGAGCCGAAGAGAGAACAGAGGAGAGACACGGAGCGTGAGCAAGAGAGGAAACGCACGTACGTGCGAGTGTAAAACGTGCAGAAGCCGCGGGCTAGAGAGAGAGAGAGAGAGAGAGAGAGAGAGAGAGAGAGAGAGAGAGAGAGAGACAGTACGAGCTCACCGTAAAATCAATACGGTGCTACGTTGGTGGAGGTGTATATAGGAAGGACTTGTACTCCGCAAGCACGAGGCAATACCAGTGGTTTCCAACCATTTTTTTTTTTCTTTTTTCCTTTCTTTCCTTTTTTCAAATTGCACCTCGATCGAGACAGAAGAGGACAACATGCAACAAATTACCTTCAGACAGCAGAAAATAAACGATGTCAGTGTAACAATGTCCTTTAGGTACTTCGAAACTAGTTACATAAGAATGCAGCAGCCTGTTTAAAAACGATCGCGGGGTGCACGAATTTTAAATCGAAACCAGCCAACAGATTGTCGATCAGAAGAGGCGACAGATGTGTAAACACGGAACACTTTTGTCACTCGGTTAATGGAGAATCTCGTGCGTCATGTATATTCGTTTACATAGTTTCAAGTATACTAATTGATTCGCATGCTCGCTTTTAGAAATAGCACCAGGCTACTGTTTGACAAAAATTTACGCGACAAACGATGACATGTAATCTGTCGTCGTGTGAAGACGATGAAACGTGGCGGCAATTTCACGAATAAAGCTCCGATCAACAGTGTCTCAGGTTAATTCGTCGTTAATTCAACAATCAACAATGCAAAGCAGATCGATCCATTCCAGCGAGGAAGAAAGCCGCATTCCCCGAGGCATTCAGCTCGAATTCATCTAAATTGTCCTATCGTTGCAAGGTCTCTTCGACTCGTAAAAAAGAAAAAAAAAAAAAAGAAAAGAAAAGAAAAAACAACAGCCACTCGACGCACGCTAGTCTCTAGCCCGATCAATTTCACTGTCATCTCTCGTCGTGCACCGAGAGCAAAAGCTGTCAGTCGCGTCATGCATTGACTGGAAAAAAAAAAAAAACAAAAGAAACGAAGAAACAAAAAAGAGAGAGAGAGAGAGAGAGGAAGGTAAAATAATAGGGAGGGGAAAGAGGAAAGAGGGAAGAAAATGGAAGATAAGGGAGAAGAGAAAGTTACCTCGGGGCTCGGCGTGGACGACCTCCGTTCGTCCTCCTCCTTCACTTCCGGCTCCATGGCATCCTCCTTGCTGGTCTCAGAGATCACGGGGCCCAGGTACAACCTTGGCCTGGAGTGGACATTGACGGGCGGTGAAGCGGAGGAGGACGACGACGACGACGACGACGACAACGGCGGCGGCGGCGGCGACGTTTTCAGAGCGGCCTTCACCAGCGAGCATCTCGCGGACGTGGTCGCCGCTGCGGCGACAGGGTTGAACGCTGCGCCGTCCACCGACGACTCCAGCTCGTGCGCCGCGACGCCGGCCAGGGGCGTAGATACCTCGATGTCGCGGGGGCGCCGCTGAGCCCTCCACGAGCCGACACCTTCCACGCCGACGCCTATCGCCCCGTGTGACACGCGGCACTCCTCCGACAGCAATCTTTCCGCTCGCTTTTGACAGTCCTCCTGCAACGATAACAATCGGACCGGGGAACGTCCGAGTGGAGAACGCGATTATTATTATTATTGTTATTAATGTTTCTCGGGCATTTCCGGATTTATTAAAGGAAAGTTGCAATAAATTGCCATGTAAGGTTTTAAAGCTCAAGTTGCAAGTTTATTAAATCAATGCGTCGTTCTTTGGTAAAATTTTTGGAGGTTGTTTAGTTTCATATTCTAATAGTATAGTAAATCTCCGCGACTCGTTTTAGGAAGTTAGCACGAAAAAAGGAAGGTAGATCTACAGGTAGGTCTTATTTCTTGAGTGTCAAAATACACGTGTTCATGTGTGACATGTGTATTAACACTAAGACTACCGAGGACTAAAGTATAAAAATTGAGTCAAAGAAATTAGAATGCAAAGAATAGGAAGTGATTTATAATACAAAGTTTTATCGAATACTTAAATTTCCGAAAAATGCAACATTGTAAAAATTGAGTCAAAGAAATTAGAATGCAAAGAATAGGAAAAGATGTATAATACGATAATGAACACAAAGTTTTATCGAACACTCGAATTTCCGGAAAATGCAACATTGTAAAAATTAAGTCAAAGAAATTAGAATGCAAAGAATAGGAAAAGATTTATAATACGACAATGGACACAAACTTTTATCGAACACTCGAATTTCCAAAAAATACAACATTGTAAAAATTGAGTCAAAGAAATTAGAATGCAAAGAATAGGAAAAGATGTATAATACGATAATGAACACAAAGTTTTATCGAACACTCGAATTCCCGAAAAATGCAACATTGTAAAAATTGAGTCAAAGAAATTAGAATGCAAAGAATAGGAAAAGATTTATAATACGATAATGAACATAAACTCTTATTAAACGCTCGAATTTCTAAAAAAATGCAACATTGTAAAAATTGAGTCAAAGAAATTAGAATGCAAAGAATAGGAAAAGATGTATAATACGATAATGAACACAAAGTT